AGTATCAGTAGCAAAAAATTCGATTCTTTGCTCTTGTGGTAGAAATGGGTCACGCAAAACAGAAAATGCGCAAACAACACGTGTTAAAAGTGTGGACCAGTGCTTTGGGTTTTAAGATGTTACTTTTTTTTTAGTTAAAGTAGAAAACATTTTCTGGATGCGTACATCTGTATAGGGACATTCCTAGAAGTTAATTCCCTCTAACGTCTCTCCACTAGTACTTGTATAGCATAGCTTGCATATGTAATGGTAGCATGGGAATTTTGATTGTTTCGAGCTAAATCCGGATCATTCTTAGGCGCTAATGTTTGACGAACTTCGGAGTTATTGTCGAAGATGCCAGGTTTAGAGACATAAATAGATTAGTCCTGTTTTGTTTGGTGGGAAAATAAGTACGAGTTTTCGACGAGGAGAGGAGTAAAGCTAAAAATCTGCTGAAAATTAAGAAAGCTGTTGTTAACTATGCGCGTGAGGATCAAACAGGATCAAAGGCTCAAGATCAAATTGCCTTGAATTGACAAAGAAATAGACATACGTCAGCATTGGATACTGGTTTCAAATCTCATGTCTTGAACCAAAGCAACGGATATCAGAACATTTTCCTAGATGCGCTTTAAGGGATAACTTTCGACAAATACTGTTTCTTTATTGAGGGTATTTACAGAGGGGAAAGAGAAGGAGCGGCATTGACATTTCCAGGATTGAACGCAGAAGAAAAATAGACCTTGTCACAGTTTTCGACGCCATCTTGCCGAGTAGGCAAACCCGTGAGAAATTACAGTGATTGTATGAGGATCTAATGTCGAATAATTTCCGTAGAACGGCTGTTCTGAAAAAAATATGATTCGTAAACTAAAGCTTCACTTCTAAGGATTCTCCTGAAAAAATTTGAGGGCTTTACATGCACTAGAAGACCTAGAACCACTTTTTTAATTTTCTATTCATTAGTCTGTAAGAAAGTCCCGGGAAAATTACAGACAAAAATATGGAAAATCGAAAGCAAGCCTCTGGAGAAATTCAAGGTACACCCCCAAAATTGCTTAGGACAATCCTTTGCTTTGTAGCTTTAGTTCACAATTGATATTTTTTTTCAGAATAGACGTTTTACGGAAATTATTCGACATTAGATTCTCATACAAACACTGTAATTTCTCACGCGTTTGCCTACTCGTCAAGATGGTGTCGAAAACCGTGACAAGGTCTATTTACACATTTGACGATTTCAAGTTTCTTATAACTCTCTATTATACTTCACGGACATCGTCAAAGCGGAATACTGCAAACTCCTTCAAATGGACGTAATGTGATATCTTTGCAAGGTGTTCTGATGGTATTGATGTCCGTAATGATTTCGAAACATCTTTAAAGTGGACTGGAATTTACCAAATTATGAAAAAAGATTCCGACTTCCGTTCTAATTGACGCTTATTATGTTTCCCCGCTACTTACAAAAGAGAACATTCGGACTACACACTATGCTGTACATTTTACTACCTGCATTTTATCATGTAAGTAATAAGTTGAACAGAATAATTAGCCATTCATAGTTAATTTTTCATTGTCATATCCTTAAAATGAACTTGTACGTTTAGGTATGCTCGTACATTTTGGATTGACATGGCCACCGTTTTATTGTTTTCAGACACCACACTCCATAAGCCTTGGGCCTGCACATCTTCAAAAGGGGTGTTAGGAGGGCTTATTAAAGGAGTGGTTATATCCGAGGGGCCTTATAACTAGAACAGAAAAAGAGCTTCAAAACAAGCTAAGGTTATAATAGCAGTGCTTTTCTTTTTGCATTAACTGTCAAGCCTCAAAATGTCATAAATCAAATTCATTTCAATACATCTGGAGGGAGCTCATATCCAGGGAAGCTTATAATCAGATATTTTTTTGTTTACACAGAGGCCGGCCCAGGGGCGGATCTAGGGGGAGGGTGCAGGGGGTGCGCACCCCCCCCGAGATGACCTGCGGTTTTTTAATACAACTGGTGTTCTGCAAAAACTATGTGGTTTATTGGTGTTGAAGTAGAGCAAGAGACGAGTGCACCCCCTCCTAAAAAAAATCCTGGATCCGCCCCTGCGGCCAATGGCTGGGGTAGGGGTGGGGGCTTTTAACTGTAGGAGCTTTGAAGTGGCAGTAGTAGAAGTTTATGTTAAAGGGCCTATTTCATTTTTTGTATTGAATATGATGAGTGATTGGATCCACTGTTTCAGTTTCACCGAGGGTTTTAGAGGCTTTTTCTGTTGATTTTTGATGATGATCTTCCATGGACTTCTTTACTGAGTTTTGCAACTGCCATGGCAAGCCAAAAGTGTAACAGTGTTCACTATTTACATAATTTAATGGTCAATTAAGTCCTCATTTTAGTAAATTCGTTTTTATTTTGTTTATTCAATTCAGTCTAGCTACGTTCATTCATCTCAATATAAAAAATAGGCTACCACAAAATGTGGAATCTGCAAATGGAATCCAGAATCTGAAGCTTGAAAAGGGCATTAAAAATGGAATCCAGAATCAAACAGAACTGTTCCTCAAAGGCAAAGAACACTAAGTTTAGACTCTATTTTAACCTTTTTTCTTTGTGTTGTTTGCTTTGAACTTTCACCTCTGTGCTTAACATTAAGCATTTTAGAAGGCTAAACAAGAGAAATTAAACCTGCGAAATTACGTCCTTGAAGAAATGATTGCCTTCAACCATGAAAATGTTTATATATTTCCACTATGCTGTTGATTTACTCAACTTTTAGAGACTTTTTCACTGTCATTGCTATTTTCCAGCATAATTTTGTTCTACACGAAGCGATTCCCAAAGTTCATAAATTTTTTAATGGAAAATGAGATGCCTTTTAAAAATCAAATAAAAAAATGCCTCAGTTTGAACATGATGTAATATAAAACTCTGGGCAGGAAAATTTCTTTGTTCTTTTATTTCTCTTTTTCTCTTCTTCATTCTAAACAATATTTCCTCAGAAATTCATGATACATGATTCCATATTATAGTGCTGCCCTAAAAAAATTATTCAACTGAGATTCAGTTCCTTTTTCTGATATTCATTTCCAAAGGTATCCATCCAATGTTTGCACTCATTTATTGAATCTTGGAAATTGGGACAAAGTTTGAAATTTTTGTACATATTTTCCACAAAGCTCAGTAGAGTTACAATTTGCAGTGCATTCAAACTATTGCAGAAATATTTTGATTTATTTAGAAATCATATTTCAATATCATCTAAAGGTAATCAAATCAGTGGTATTTATGACTATCTTTGCTTCTTGAGCAGGAACTCTTTATATTGTTCTCCCCAGTGGATCAACACGGTTATGGTGTATGATGTTCAGTGGCGATTGAGTTCTAATCAAGTACTTCTGAAACTGATTCACGCGTGCTTAATTTGCGAAGAAACTAGTAATTTTCTAAATTGCCACAATTTTTACTTCTACCCCAATCACCATATTATAAAATTTTACCATTTTTTTGGAATACCTAGTACCCCACGAATGTTTAATCCTCTTCCCAGTGCCCAATACGTGAGTGCAAACATTGAGTGGGATATTGTCAGATGTGTAGCTACTTGTCCGCCATTATGCACATGCTACTGCTACCTAAAAAGGTGTTGAAGATCATAAAAACTAAGCAAAAAAAAAGAAAAGGAAAACAACAACGACAGCAATTTGGGAACAGAAGGCAAAAACTGTGTAGTTGCCCAAGTGACTTTTTATGCAAACAAAAACAATGTTTTTCTGTCGATTGAAGGCAGTTGGGGTACTCCATATTAAATCTCTGGTTCATAGTAATCGGCATTTCAGATTCATCCAGGGACCTAAATGAATGCTTACTCTTTCATGGGTGTTACATCTATTTTCTTACCGGTTCCAGCTTCTTTTTCGCTTCTTTCTCTTTCTGGCTCTTGATGTTTGAGATTTCGACACAAAAAGTTTATTTTACTGCCGAGTGTTAAAGTGGCTGTTCTTGTAAGAGAAAAGATGCTCGCTTATACTCCCCTAACAAACGCAAGATCAGTTTTCCTGTGAACGAGCACCTTTTTTGTAGGTAAATGCAACCGGAGTTCCCTTCTGACAACCACTTGGTTATTTTTAATTCATCTATAAATGCAGTAGTTTCCTTTCTCCTTGAATACAAATGAGTAGTTCTTGTAAAATTATGTTCTTTTGGTGGTGTGAAAAACAAACAAATCATACTAGGACTTCACCACCCCTCTTTTACATCTTCCACTTTTTTCCCTGTGGCGTTGATTTACTCGTTACTGTGTCTCTCGGTCTCTCGCTCTCTCTTTTTTTTTTGCCTTTCTTCTGTATAAAAAATTATGTAGTTTATGCCCACTTTATTGTCTTTCTTTTGCATGAAATTGCGGCTGGCTAACTTTTTAGAAAAGAAACAACTTTAATCTTTAAAGAGTAGTAGGTAAACAGCGAAATTGACAGTCGATTTTTCCTCAAAACGTTACCCTTTTTTGTAAGTGTAACTCTGTTAGGATTGGTCAGAAAATATCCAAATTAAAACGGGGTATCGGTGGAAAGATCTATATTTGATGACGTTGTTGTTTACTATTTCTTAAGCTAAAACTGGCTTAAACTGAAAGTTAAATGGGTCCGGGAAGGAAAATATGCATCGTTCCATCTGGAACGAAAACGACCAAAGCAGTATTCGAAAGGTTAAACAGTGGAATTGTGACTAATCGTTCTTCTCGGGCGAAGCAGCTTATAACAAAGTGTGACCTTAAGAAATCAGTATTTTCTTATGAAGTCTCAGTAGGAAAATCATGTTTGACGTTGTGAGGATGATAGGCTCGGCCAGGATATTGGAGAAAGTATAATTATCAAGTATCCGTAAATGTTTCTGGACTTTATTTTATTTTGTTTTACCTGATACAGATTTAACACCAAACCGTTGCTATATGCGCTTAATTACTTTTCTTCACGTTACAAAGCTAACACCGTTTCTTTTTATTCAAGTCCAGTTAATTAAATAAACGAGCTTACTGCTGTGGTTTCGACACTTCCTCAATCTGAAGATACGACTCATTGAATGCCAACCGGTAAGAGTCTGCAACCTTGTCGCCGGTGACGCACTTTCCAACTGAGAGTCCAACTCGCACTGTTCCCCTCTTTATGTTATGGCAGTGGCCTTCAATGTGTCTGTGACGTTGATTTGTGGCTGTTTCCTGGTAGAATGCACCGTCAATAGTTCCAGGAGAGCTACACTCATTGCCGTTGAAGGTGAAATACAACCGACTACAGGAGCCGCTACAAGATGTCGTTTTAAAGTTACCAGCAAAGTAAACATGGAGAGCAGTGTCTGTGTACTTCTTCATGAAGGTACAGTGCTGCGTGAAAAAGAAAGAAAGAAATTATTCACTATATTCTAAGGAGAAAAAATTGTGCTTCGTTGGGAGTTTGTAAAATAGATTTCTTCACGGACTAAAATGACTTGATTTAAATTTCTCCAGAATCCTTGTCGTCTCGTCTTTTCCAGACACACTCCTTGCAGTTCATGTATGAAGTCAGTCGAGGAGACCCATTGTCGCCTTTGTCTTCCCTGGGGTGCCCAAGTCGCCTTTGGCTCCGTCTCGTCCATCACGGCCGGGTGCGCCAGCAGATCCCGGCATGCCATGCATACCTGGTAGTCCATTTGTGCCGGGATGGCTTCCAAAGCAAAATGGCTGAAACTGGGTTGAAAAAGAAGATGCAGAGCCATTTTTTATACAATTTGTATGAAGAAAACGTTCTTAATCTCATTAACTTGTTACTTTTGTTTAACTTGATTACAGAGCTACTTCCTGAAAGAATTTCCTGTTAGATCAGAGTTGCGTGACCCGTTAATGATAACGGGGAGACTCGAGCATGACTTATCAGTTATTTGTTTTGTGATCACCGTTTGCATTTGCGATTTACATTTCTTTTGTCAATTGTACGGGCGTCTCACTTTATTGAGCATTACATACCTTATTGAGGACGCAAAGAAGGAAAGCAAAAACACTCAGGTATTTTGTTCACAAAGGTTTAAGGTTGACCTTATATAGAAGCTCCCCAAAAGAAATATCCATAATTACAAAAACAAAATTACAAGACATATATTTCATAGATCAAATATCTTTTTCTCCATGAGCTAATGTTGTAAAATGATGAAATCACCTTGTCACGTGATTTGCTGCGGCCGTTGTTGGCTGTCGTAGAGCACAAAGTGATAAACGATAAAATCAATAGGTAAACCATGGCTGCCATCAGAGATCATTCACAGGAGATTTGCGTTCACTAGTTTTGAACCTGTGAAAATAAGAACACCACGTAAGCGTAAATAATCTACAACGCTCAGCTCATTCTCCACGAAAGAATCGAAAGATATTAGCCGGCCAGTAGGTCTCTCGGTCTTGAATTTTTGCTCTTTTAGCCAGGGCCATTGCCACTTTTGCTAGCGTCTCCTAAAGTCTGGTAAAGTCTCCTAAAGACTTGCTCTTGAGTTAGCACTTACCTGTCAGGTTTGGCTACGAAACGAAATGATATTATTGCAAGTTTGGCAGCCCTTTTTAAGTGTTCTCTGCATGAATGTCTGGTTCAAACAAGTTTATAAACTAATATCGTGTACATATAAAAATGGGATGAATTACCCTATTGGTCATTTAAGTCATGTCAGTAGTTTTAACTGACCAATAATATGTTCTGTTACATAAATGTTTCATTTCCATCCGAGACAAGTTAAAACGAGTATACAAGTTACGTTTCCTGAACTAAGGATTTGAAAATTGCTTGCTATTCTGAAAAGCTGCTATGTATTTTGCCTATTTTTTTGGCTTGGTCGGTTTTAAATCCGGCATTGATAAATAGTATCTTGCTGAAAATGTAATTTTTGTGTAAGTTCTGTAACATATGGGAGTCAAAAGCACAGTTAACGACAAAATGTTGCCAATTAGTCTGATATAAAAGATATTCTCTGTTTCACTGTATTTTTGCTGTTTGTGAGTTTAATATTTAGTACTAGCGTAGTTCTATTCATAACTGCGCTCTAACATAAAACATAGAACACTGCATGGATTTAGAAACTCGTGAAAGAAGCATATCCACACCCTCTAAAATTAAAACATGACTGGTGCCGTTGTTGAAGAAAAATGACTCGACATGTTGATTAAAAAGTCAGCTTCCTTATTTGAAACAATGCACGATCATGATTCGTAAAAGCATTTTTCTTTCCAGCGAAAAAAGCCAGGTTTGGAAATTTTTCTTTCCTTGACAAATCAACGAAGAAAGCCAGTTTAATGATGTAGAGGTGAAAAGAAATTTACGACGTTTTGCTTTCAGTGATTGACTTGCATTTCCTAATTATCATTGATTAAGAACGTTCTTACTCATTGAACGGCATCTGATAAGTTGGTTGTTGTTTTATTCGAAGCAAAATTAAATGATAATAAAAAAATGAAATAAATAAACAAATATAAACTGACGAAATCATTTTACACAACAGATAGACGTTTTGGATGAGAGATTTTAATTCATAGTTTCTTCGGTTTTGCTTCATGGCAACTACAGTAGAAACCCACATATAAGATCCTAGAATTTTCGAGGTCAGCCTGAACAGGCTCTTATATTTTAGGGTAGTTTTTCACAATTTAGGCTGATTAGCTTTTAAAAGGTTCTTATTTTTCAGAGGTCATCATAGTGTAACCATTGGCAGAAATATTGTACTACTGTGGAAAACAGCCAAGGTCCAAGAAGAACATCAATTTATAAAATAACTGAGATAGTACGCGCGATCTGATTGGTCAAAAACCTATGATTTATTATACCGGTAAACCCATAGAAAAAGGCATCCGGAACACGATCGAGCCATAAGCAAAACGGGCTATTGATCTGCAAACAACGATTTTAGAAAGAATAAAAAACAGAATAAGTTACTTACCCAGCGCTTCTTAATATTAAAAAGTGTTGGTTTCCACATTTTATTACAGAGAATCACAATTCGCTACTGCCATAGCTTTAAAAGTTATAAAGTACAAAGCTGGAAAGCAGTTTACATTTCACGACGAAGCCAAATCGCAGAGAAAGACAACAACTGTGTGAATTTCTGGTGTAGAAAGTCTCTAGGAAAGCTTAACCATGTCCCAACCAGCAACAAAAGGGATAGTTTTAACATTCTTGATTTATTTTATGTCAATGTTAAATTCCTGAATGAAAGAAATTGTTCCGAAAAGAGATATCTGATCAAGTTATCGTACAAAATCGGCCGCTGCAGATTGTAAACAAACTGTAAACGATGATGAAAGATGTCAGAGTTTCGCGCTGGTTTTTTCCAATATTTGCACAAATTATTCGGTGATATCGATGCTATAGCCTACTTCAAACCACCTGACTTCACAAATCGACAAATATTAACGCTAATATGTGGCTACGGCAAGGAAACCTTTCTCAAAATTTAGAGCTACCACTGACATATTTCCATCGGTCGCAGTCTGGTCGCTGTACATACATACGTTACATGCGACAACTTCGCAAATGCAGCAACGTCGTTACCGCAAAATTTCTCGATCATGATAAAGTCCAGAAAACAGATCTTAAACCACTGCAGCTTGTAAAGTCAGGGGCACCCAACGACAATTTTCTGAAGAATATCTGTTCGGAAGACGATTTGAGATCTAGAATTTTCGAAACATTTGTTGTAAAGTTTCTTGCTTGCCTGCCTCTCCTAAGATTTTCGAACATCCAAAAAATGGCATATTTGCCTATTTTTAACGGATTTTTACCCTAAAAAGGTCACCTAGAATTTTCTGGAGCCTTTTTTCTGGCTGAAATTTTCGAAAAGGTAAGTTTTGATCCCTATAATTTTCGGATCACTTGACTTTCAGCTAGGAAATCCGAACAGATGAAAAATTTTTAGGGGATAAAAATATGCCTATATCTACCGTTTAAATACTAAAATACGTTTAACAATGCTATGTTTAAGTGATTTTGAACTACATTCTCGTTGGGTGCCCCTGTAAAGTGTGAATGAAGTCCTCCATTACAACAGCTGCCAGTTTCGTCTGTAAGCACGAAATGTTTACGGATCGACTCAACAAAATACAGCTGCGTACTGTTTGATGTTCAATTTTCTACTTCTGTAGTAAACAAACTTCATTGTACCTTCGCATGAATATGTGTTGACTTTTCCTGAAAAACAGCTGTCATAAGTTCTCATGTAATGAGTGCAAAAACTCGTGTTGTGAAGTGCTGCTGTTTGTTGTTTGAATGAACTGAGTTTTGAGAAAGTTTGGCGCTTTTAAATCGTGAGTCATGATTGGCTTATGGTGACTTTAGAGAGAAGACATGGCTTGATCACGGTACTAAAACCACATTTTTTACCTAAAAAGCTCCGTTCTACTAAAGTTATCTTATAACAGCAATAGACCACACTTTCTATGGGTTTACCGGCGTGATAACCCACTTGGGATGTTGGGAGAACACTCGAAAAGTTTGTAAATCACTCGCCTTCGACTCGTGATTCTTTTGACTCTTTTGTGAAAAGTTTCTCACAGAATTAAAATCGAGAATTTTTACCATCAAACTCGGAGTAATTTTTTTTGTATAAGAACCTATTTTTCTTTGCGAGGCTGAATAGGTTCTTATATTTATGGGTATTTAAATGCCAAATTTCAGCCTGTAGGTTCTTAAATCACTAGGTTCTTATATGCGGGTTTTTACTGTATGCCAAACGCTTGTTCGTCTTGAGTGTTTTCTGACGTGAGGGTCTTCTCTTATCAAACATTATTTTTTATTCCTAAAACACCACAGTACTGTACTTGAGGAATTGAATTCTTCATTTTGAGTTTTATCTCAGCATATTCCTAGAGCATTGTACTCAATTTGAATAAAATTCGCATCCTTTGACCAATGTATATTTATCGACCTTTTGAGAGTTTTAACTGCAAGGAAATGTCGAAAAAGTTTTATCATCTTAAGAACTCACCTTTTGGTTTTTTGGTCTATGTGGTGGTAGCGATAACCGGCAGCCTGTGCAAAGCTCCTAAAAGATAAAATAAAATATAAAAAAAGAAGTTAAAGTCTGTCACTTATTCTGTGCGAAAAAAAAAAAACCAAAGACTTCAGGTTCCATTTTCATAAAAGCGAAAAAATATATATATTAAAGAGCAGAGAAATTGGAAGAAGTAAGTTACTAAGAGCTTCTTTTCATGGCCACTTCAATTTTCAATCGTTCCGAATATAAGTTGATTTTTTTTTGTCATAAAAAAAGAAAAGAAATCAGTAACGGTCGAGACTGCATGCTTTGAAAAACCGGTATTAACTTTACAGTTTCTAGCTGGTCCAGTTTTAGTATATGCCTTTAGTTCTTGGATAAAGATATGTAGCAGTTATACTAAGTACATGTAGGTTTACTGACGAACGAATAATGAGGGTTCGGATTGATAAATACTAGGTTTTCCTTTGTGAACTCAAAAGTAGCAATGATTCTAGTTCAGTTATTAGACTCACGTACATGGTAGAAATCTCTGCGTCCGCCTTCCTCATCATGTTGTCAATTAAATGAGCATTAAAAAAAGGCAAATCCATATCAAATTATTTTGCTTGACAAAAGATTTAAAAATTTTGTTTCAAATTATTTCGATTAGGAAATGATTTAAAAAGGATTCAATATAAGTCAAATTATTTTCCAAAATTTGTCCTGTAGTTGTGTGTGTTTCAAATAGATTGAATTGGAGGGAAAATTGT